GCCTTGATAACAAGAAGTGCAAGAAAATTCATTATTTAAAAGAATCTTTAAATTCTTTAATGAATGTCCATTTGAGTTTTCTATAATTCGTCTCATCATAATTGATCCAGGGTGTTCCAATCGATCATGCTAAAGTACAAAAGTATTGGAATCAGTAACCTTTTGGTTTACGGTAGAATGTGTCTCAATTGCACTAATTCTTGTCCAATACAGGCCACAAAATAAAGATGAGAACTTCTCAATAACCCTCTTTTGTCCAGAGACATTCTTGGTAATGATGAGATATTCAAGATTATTCCCATCTATTGTCTCAATATGATATCCATTTCGACGGATATCTTTAAAACTCAACAAGTTCCTCTTGGACTTGGAGGAGAACATTGCATTCTCTATGATAAGTATTGTTCCCTTAGGCAGAGTTATAGTAGCTCTTCCAGAGCCTTCAATTAATTTACTACTACCAGAAATTGTAGTAACATCTGCCTTACACATACTTAAATGAGAGAAATATTTCTTCTCTTTGAATATTGTATGTGTCGTACATGAATCAACTAAACAAATATTTTTACAATTGAACTTTGATCCAAGTTTGCTTTGAGAGATATCATATTTGCTGCAAACGTAAATAAAGTAGGCAATTTATTATGCATAAATGAACAAAGATTTGTTGTTGAATTCCCTAAAGGTAAGGATCATGTTCCTATACACTTTATAACCCACAATCTGGTAGGATCAATATCACTTTGACGTTATTGGAGTAATAAATATTAATTAAAAAATTAATAGTACAAAACTTTTGTATTCTTACGTGTGTATTCTTAAACACAAATCATTGTAAAGTGTGTTGCATTATATTTGCCCAATACCATAATTAATTACCAGTTCAAACACCACAATCACAATAGTACATCAATGATAATCACCATGCGCAAAACGAATACGATTTCATACCGCAGCGTTCATGTTGTATCAGCAGCCACATAATTAAGTAATATCAAATAATAGTAATTATTTAAAATGAATATTAGAACGATATTTAGTCAAAATGAACTAACATTATTTTATAAAATAAATAATATTAATGACTACTACTCATGTAAAGAACTATGGTTACATGATGTTTATTCACTAGCTACTAAGAATAGGCGAAAAATAAAAATAAAACTACTCAATTTTCTTTAACCACAGATCCATCACCAATCAAGTGGTCTATTTTTCCATCAGGGCACTCAAAGAAGTCTGCCACATCTAAGTGGGTGATGTCAAATTCATTGTCATAGACAAGATTAGCTTCATGGCCTTTATTCTTTAGAGATGCTTGATAAAGCTCAACCAAATGTCTTGGTACACGACAAATATTTGCCCAATGGCCTTTTCCACCGCAATGATAACATTCGGTTTTTGAACCATTTGCTTTTGGTTTCTCATCTTTCCCTTTCCACTTTTGGTGGTTATTTTTCTTTGGGGGCTGATCAACACTAGGAAAATTTCTTCCTTGTCCACGGCCACGACCATGCACACGACCACGACCACGAATAGGGTCACGGCCTTTTCCACGCTTAGCATAATGGGAATATACTTCATCCACTTCAGGTAATGGTGTAGACCCAGCGGGCCGATTTTCGTGATTTCTCATGAGCAAGTCATTGTTTCGCTCAGCCACAAGGAGAAAAGAAATCAACTCAGAGTACTTTTTGAAACCTTTCTCTCTGTATTGCTGTTGCAAGACCATATTGGAGGCATGAAACGTTGTGAACGTTTTTCAAGAATATCATAATCAGTGATAGTATCTCCACAGAGTTTCAATTTAGAAGTAATTCTGAACATCACAGAATTATATTCAGAAATAGACTTAAAGTCTTGGAGCCTCAGATGAGCCCAATCATATCGTGTTTGTGGAAGAGTGACCAACTTTAAGTTGTCATATCTTTCCTTTAAGCCATTCCAAAAAACAAGTGGATCTTTGACTGTGAGATATTCTATTTTCAACCCTTCATNCATAATTAAAAGAGGAGAAAAGTTGTACCTTAATCTTCTTGAGACGGTAGAGTCTCGTGCTGATAACATGTTATAAAACAATAAAAGTAGAAGAATAATATTGCAGAGAAAGAAAGAGAGGAAATTCTTATTGAATTTTGGGATGATTTATAATAGGGTAAGACCCCTCTATTTATAGGGTAAAATGACTTAGCCACAAAGTAAAACTCTCTACAAGATAGGCATTCACTCTAAATAGAATTTTATTCATAACATTTCCAAAATTTTTGTACTTTTTTTATTTTTTCTACAAACACTAATATTGTGTAATTTGAAATAAACATATAAAATCTATTATTAAAAATTTTGGGACTTAAATCACGGCTTTACTAGTCTCCTACTAGAGCCACTTGTTTACCCCTGGTATTCTTAGTCAAATTTTTATAGAGTCTCAATTAAGATAAGACTTATACAACAATGACAAGAACATTAAAGACAGTAAATGTGTCATTTAGTTACCAAATGTGAATAAAGCTGGTTGAATAATACCTTCATGATGGGGTAGTGGTCTGTAATAATTATTGACGTAATTAAAGGTGGCTCAACGGAACCAGAGGCCTAAAACATAATATATTAAAAGACCCTGAAACTTCTTTCATAAAATTCATATAATAAACAAATAAAATCTTAAATGACTTTGACCTAGTGGTGAGAGCACAATATATGATGTGTGAGTTAGGCACATATCATGTGGTATTGAAATTTCCCCTTAAATGAAAATGGCAAAGGGGTGAACCCATTGTTCATCTTGTTTTGAACCTTGCGACACTTGTTTCAAAAAAAAATTAGTTAAAGATAAGACACAAAAGAACTTGCTTTCTGATACGTGGATCAATCAAAATGTGACAAAAAGGAATATTTCATTTAGAAAATATGAGTTGAACTTAGAAAGAAAATCGTGAGAAACATGAAAAATTATTATACATAAAGGAAGAAAAATACAATTAATGAGAAGCTAAATATATTATTTAATTTAGAGAGAAAAAAAATTATCCTATTAACTCACTCAATCTTACTTGTATTATTTTAAAATATATTAAAATTTAAATTTTTTTTATTAATAATTATATAATAATATATTAATGATTCATATTTTTGGGGGCTTAAACATTTGGAGGCATTAGGCAAGGGTTTTACTTGCCTTTCCCTAGAGTTGCTTTTGCAAAGACTATAATTGTGTAGTATTATAATAGGCAAAATACTAGATAAATATTCAATTTTCGCCTCAATTGTTAATATGACAATTAAACTTACTCAATGATCAAATATACATTTTAACTTGACTCAAGTATGTCTCATAGACACTCAAATCTGACTTGGCACAATAGGTGTGTCGTCTTCACATTTGAGCGTATGAGATGTTATTTTGACCAATTTTCAGCAAAAAAAAAAAAAAAAAAAATTCTATTTCATTCCAAGTGCCCATCCCCAATCGTTCTCTATCTTCTATTTCTTTCTCTTAACATCCACATCCCATAAAAGATGTCCACCAGTGAGGCCTTAAACTCTTCTATCGCCATTAAACCCTCTTCAACTAGAGAGCCAAAATTCTTTACGTCTAATAATTGTTTTTTTTTGGGGGGGGGGGCTTAACCCAACTATTGTTCTTTCTTCCTCCAACTATTTGTATTTGTTATACCACGATAGAAGTAACGAACTGAAAAAATTCATTAGTTAATATTTAAAAAGTAAAATTTATATAAGCTGGGATTCGTGGGGGTGGGTGAGGGCCTCTTTTTTCCAGTTAAAATGTTTCGTTTTTCTTTCTCTCTTGTTTTTATATGAATTTTACATGTCATTTGCTAATTGTTACTTTGCCACATCACTCGCGCTTGGAGCACATGCGTAAGATCGCTCGGACCAGGGTTGTCAAGTTGAACTGTCAACATGATCATTGAGTAAGTTTAAATGTTTGTTTATATATTTTGCTATTATAATATTATTATCAAAAACACTCATCATAGATAGGATTCTTAAGCAGTTTTAAGTTGTTCAACTTTCACTTTTCATATTTGAATTGGTCAACATTAATTTTGCCTCAAATATTTGTAATCTTGACCTTTAAAAGTTAAATTGTATAATGTAATGGAATTATAGGAAAGAAAGAATAAAAAGAAAAAAAAAGAAAAAAGACACTCATCGTAAAAATAAATTAATATTTTTCGGAAAAGAAAAGGATGTATTTTGTTTTGTTTTAAGAAAAGAAAATTCTTACTTCTCGAATCATTGTACATTGCAATTTAAATAAGAAATTCTTTCTCCAACTCTAAGAAGCCTTTTACCACGTATGCATCTGATCATATATGTATTATCTATCCCAAATACTCTGAGCCCCTTTTCAACTTGTTTAGAACCATAAATTCCAAAAAAAATTATTTTTTTCTTAAACTTCATGCTCGGTCAAACAGATTCATATAAATTAGAACGGAGGGAGTAGTACGTATTACTCTATTAGTACAAAAAACTTAAATTCACAATCGTAACGGTGGGAGGAAGAGCGTGGCATAGAATTATTTCTATATCATTATTGAAGTAGACAAAGAAGATGGGGCGAAATAGTGAGCAAACAACAACAACAACCCAGTGGAATCTCACAAATGGGGCCTGGGGAAGATAGTGTCAAGTGTGAACGCAGACTTTACCCCAATTCTAGAAGAATTCCTGTTCTAGAGGAATAGAGAGGTTGTTTCCGAAAAGGCCCTCGGCTAAATAGTCAGCAAATAATGCAAGATTAGCACTAACAATGTTCTTTTTCAAAAAGTTGATGGAGCTATCTAAAGGTAACGGTCATGAAATTTGAAAAAAGCTTCACATTGTATCATTTTCTTAACGGATAGTGTATCATATAATCCTCATCTCTGTATTCCCTTTTTTTTTGAGCATTTTGGTTTTCACATCACAACAATCATCTTCGACACTCTCACTATTGAGGAAAAACAAAGCCAATGAAGTTAACAAAAGCAATGAAGAAACTCAAGTTCTGGTCAAGAAAGAAGAAGAAAAAGAGAGCTCCTCTTCTTGAACAACCACCATCACCGCCACCACCATTGCTCTCCTGCTATTATCAATGCCCTTATAATTACCCAATTCAGCCGTCAGCACCGCCCTTGCCGCCTTGGTTCGAGTACGAGCAGCAGCAATTACATGACTCCATTTTCACAACAGAGCAAGGTTCAACTTCGACATCAGCAAATCTAAACCAAACTCATGGCACTAATTCTCAGCACTCCAATAATGTTAGTGAGATCAATCAACCAAAGGCAACACCGTCGGATAATATTAGTACTAGTACTTTGCCTCAACAGTATATGGTTCCGAATCAAGTGTATGGTGTACCTGTGACAACAGAAGCAAGAACAGAGAGAGCTGGTGGAGCTTTTGGGTGTGTGATCAATTTATTCAGGTGTTTCTTTCCGTGTTTTCATATTCGAGAATTAAAGTAAGCCGTGTGGAAGGCTGAAGCAAAGCATATAATATCAGGCTACCATTTCCTTGCAAAATTGAGCTTCCTATTTCTTGTATATTAAAGTTATTCAGGAGTGATTTTTTTATCGACTTAATCATTTAGGTCAAGTAACTTTGAAAACATAAATGGATGCAAGGTTGTTTTATTCATGAATGTGAATGTCATGCCTCAGCAACAAAACCTCACCCATAGATATGGGGTATTATCACTTTTAGCCCGTATCAGAAACTATTTACGTTCCGTAGCCAAAAGGTGTATAAGATTTGTATAATTTTTGTGTATATATATATATATATTTATACTATATTAAAAGCGTGAAGACCCTTAGCGAAATGTCTCGTCTTTTTTACCCTTTAAGAATTAATTTTGCACTAGACAAAATAGTCATTTAACTCATTTTCCTAATATTTAGGACTTGAAAATTAATTACTATATTTTAAGTATTAAATCATTCCTTATTTAAATTGGGTAGAAAATCCTAAAATTTAGGACTTTAAAATCAATTTAATTTTTACCTTATATTTAACAGTTAAATGAATTAAAATTTTATGCATTAAAATCTTTCTTATTTGAATTATGCAGAAAGTTCTACCATTTACAACTTTAAAACTGTTTAGAGTTTACTTTATACAAATCTATGTTTAGGAGTTTAAAATTAATTAAAATTTTACTTATTAATTTTTTTCTTATTTAAATTATGTAAAAAGTCCAAAACCTTTAAAAATATTAAGAGTTTATTTTATGTAAATCTTACACTTAAAAACTTATACTATATTAAAAGCACAAAGGCCCTTGGCGAAATATGTTCGTATTTTTTACCCTTTTAAAATTAGAGTTCACCCTAGACAAAAAAGTTATTTAATTATCTCCCTAAGATTTAGGACCTTTAAATTAACTAATTTTTTGAAGAATTTAAAATAAACTATATAACCATATTCTATTTACCAACGCCATATCTTTTAGACAAGATAATTACTTTCGTTGTCTTTTAATTTTGATACAAAGTTAGAAAGATTCTAAGTCTATATGAACGAATACTATGTATCTTGATTACAAAAAACAAATATTACCGCCATGTAAGAAATAGACATATAGATTTCAAGGGGGAAAAAAGACTCAACTCGAGAAAAAAATCATAACATATTTTAAATCTTTAAATCTGTTTGTTATATAAAAATAATTTATTTTCTACATAAAATATTTATTTTAGAATGTTGACAAATTAAATTAGGTTTTATTTATTATTCTTCATGGAAATGGAAAACTAATTATACTTACTTATAATCTATAGTCGTAATAAATATTGTTTACTAAACCTTCCTCTACATTAGAAAAATCAATTCTTTAAATATATAATTCTCTTTCTACATAAAATATTTGTGTTAGAATCTTAAAGATAAATTAATTGTGAAAATGTTACCATTTATTTTAAAGCTTCATTATTTTTTGTATTCATTATTTGATAATTAATAATAAAAAAATGTTATTATTTCCTTGTAGGGTGATTTTAGGAATGCACTATATCTCCTTTTCAAAAATTTAAGTTATTATTCAATTTTTCAAGCTTTTAATATTTTTAAGAAAAATAATAACTATTTAATTAATATTATTGGATAAAGATCTAAGAAAATTTGCTTAAAGAACAACTTCCTGAAGACTGGCCTAATTAGGTGACTGAAGTTTTATGAAAAATTACATTATTTAGTAGATATATTTGGGAATGTAGTGACGCATCTACCGAATAAACAATCAGGTTAAATATTTATATCCAATAGTTAAAGTTTATAATATTTTGATGAAATAAAAATTTTGACAAATTGTGACGTAATATAGTACTATCATTGGTCTAATTGATAGTCGAAATTTGTATTACTTATATTCCAAAGAGATGTTAGACGAGATACAACAGCATGCATATTTATTTCTTATTTCACACGATATTATATTATATAACTAATTCAACTATATTCATCATCTTTGTATGTTAAGAAGATATTGTTTCAATGTATACAATAATTTATTTATTTATTTTATATATTTTATATTGAATGACGCGAAACACACGTACACTAAAGCTAGTATATATATTCCCTATATATGTGTGTAGTAGGTAAATCAATGTCTAATTCTTACGGAACACATATGTCAAAAATTATACTCTATTACATTGAATAAAATGAATTTTTTGGGCAAGTAAATGAAATGAATTTGTATTTCATATAAAAGGAAAATTCCAGAAAATTGACAAAACCGAAACAAAATCTGACTGTATGCAGTTTGGCTTAATTTGTATATCTAATGAATCGACATAGTTGGTTTGGTCTCGATTTACATAAAAACGGAACCATGATCACTCCTACACTTAAGTCGCATAAATAGTGGGCATCACCTCCACCTAACCTAAACCTCTGTATATGGACACCATTGACGGAAATGCCTCAATTTTATATCTACAAATACAGAGATGCCGCAAAGACAATGTCCCTCTTGATCTTGGCTACAGCCTCTTTAAATTTTGCCTCATGCTTTTCATCCCCAACGGCTTTTGCAGCTTCTATTAGCTGCTGAAGAACTTCCTCCAGTCTCCTGATAGCCCTGATTAAACTGCCCTCAAACACCTGAGTAATCTCCATTATTTCATAAAACTTAGATCCTTTAGCCCACGCATAGACAGCCTCCATGATATCAGGCCGGAATGAACTCACAAAGTTCTCAACGTCTATTTGGACCTATTGAAAGCACAATGGAGTTAAGACAAAATGGTAAACAAGAAAGTGATACTTTGCATGACAAATCTCTACCAAGTAGTTGCTCTTTTGGTTGCAGATTATGGAGGGTCTTCGGTAATTAGTTTCTCAATTCACATTAACAATTGAATCAGATTCAACAAATTAAACTCATGTTACTAATTCAAATCGCTGATAACGTAGAAAATGTTTAATAGTGCCCGAAAAACTGAAAGTTAGATAATAACCCAATGACATGTTCATTCAGCTATTGTATTTAATACCATAATTATCAAGCTTTATCAGCATAATTACTCAGATGATGCATACCTTGCTCTCGAGCTGAACTTTTGCAACCCTTCGAGCTGTATCTTGTAACTGCGCAAAGAGCAACTCTAGCTCTTCTCTGGGCTTCTGAGTATCCTGAAGCTTTTCTTGCCACACAAAACAAGAGAGAAGAGAGACAAGCTCCTCCACTTTAATTTTCTCGAAGGTCCCATTATACATCAATTCACTCAAGGTCAACTCATCTGCGCTGCTGATTAAACAGACAACGTTCCCTTTAGACTCCAGGACATCATCACTTTTGATGTATCTGCATAATTCCCACCTCATAAGAACCTTCATGCAATTGACCAATCAGAGCAAAGTCATAGAGAACATAATTCTGGGGCAAGAAACCATGAGAGAATACATAACATGATGAAGAAGCACATACCATACCAAACAGAGGAACCAAAGTGTATGTCAGAAACATAGATGGTTCAATAACTCCGCTGAGGTCTCTTTTGCATTAATGTTTATCTTAAGTTTAAAAAAAAAAAAGCATTTGCCATACCACATAGAAATAGAATTAACAACAATTCTTTGCAAGGTTCTCTCTTAAAAGCAGGCTACTTATCTGTAGCTCATAGTCTACACTGTCAAATCCAAATATACCCATGAAAGTACCCAGATATCAAAGGAAAAGGATCTGAATTGGATTTGGGAGGATGATGGGCTCATTACAACACTAGAAGCATTTTATATGTTTAGTACACCTTTGAAAGGGTAAAACAATTGGCAATATAATACTGATGAAAAAATGGAGAAGAAAAAATAAAAAATAAATAAAGCAGTTCAACTGTTAAAAGTTTCAGTAACTTTATGAGAGGAAACAAAAACAATACGAAAAGCATGTTACTCCTCTAATTCTGACAGCTGCAATAGCCAACACAGCGCAACTTCAAAGAAGAAACACAGTCTGCAAAACCAATATAAGGTTGGTAAGATAGAGAGGTGAATATACCCGAGTCTCCTGAGAACTCTTTTCCTTGCTTTAAGTTCATCTTTGAACGCTAAGGCTTTTGAAGTACGCATTGCTCTCTTAATTGATCTGATTTTGCCAGTAAGTTCTTTCTTCTTATGCAAAACCTTAAGCTTTTCTTTTATGAGGGGAGACGTTGCTATCTTGTGCTCTTCAAACAGACTCTCCAAGGCTTCTATCTTACTTGAAGCCTTCCTGTACGTGCTACTTTGAACCTGCAGAACAAGCATCAAATGAACACCAAGCTAATATGCCAGCAGGTTAATACCAGCAAGTCGGGGGGTGGTGATGGGAGAGATATAAGCTCTGCTTTTGACCTTCATGTCATCTTCCGGGTGTAAGAGAGGCATGCCCTCTCTTGAAAATCTTTTGAGAACTTCAGAAACCTTCTTTAGTGTATTTTCTCGAACTTCCGAAGGCAAAAGATCCTTTGGTATCACAAGACGGACACTGCTCAAACTATCAATCTGTCAATAATTTGTTTAGCAGAAAATACATCAGGTACACCAATAAGTGAACAACAAGTCTAAATTTAATTTGCATGAACGACATTGTAATTAAATTCTCACTTTCATGACCTGCTAGAGAGCAGATACATGCAACACATGATTAGATGAGAAACGATTTTCAAAATCTATGACAAATCCCAGCATTCAGATGCAGAAAGAGAAGGCAGAAGACCAGAAAAATTAAAACAAAGAAGTGACGACACTGCAAAAGTAGAAACAGGACTAGGGTGTTACCGGAATGATTAGCAGTTAAAACATCATCTACACTGTAACTCCATCCATAATAGTTTGGTAGTAGTTAAGGTAATACAGGAGGATGTAGATCAAAATAACCTGACTTAAAAGGTGTAGCAGGAATGTTCTCCTCTTAATTTTTCCCTTTTTGAAAGTAAGGTTGCACTGAGAAATGACAAATTACCAAGACTACCGAATTTGT